ATGTGTCAATACGATATATTCCAATCGAGAATATGATTTAAATAGTTTAACAGGTTAATGTGTTCGTTTATATCGTAGTCTTTTCTTATCATGGTGGTATTAAAGGTCAGTTTAAATCAATATCACTTGGAAAACTCATATGTTAGTAAAAGAGAAACTCTACAAATGTTAGAGGATGCGATGCAGAAACTAACTGGATTTCTGGACAGCCTTTTTTGTCCCGGTCCCATTTGTCCTGTCCCAAAAATTATTCGGGACTATCCTGCAAGACACTAGTTAAAACTGAATCACCGACTCTCCCGCGAACGACTCGAAGTACGCTATTTTAAAAGTTAGCGAAACAACAAGTTCAAAACATCACCCATAAACAAAGCTAGGATTGAAGATGGTGGAAAAAAATAAAGGAGCCGCATAGGTGCGCTCCTCTGTGCGCTCCTCTGGGAAACTGCTGAAGATATGAACACGGATGATGGTCTTGCCTCATTAATCTTGGCTGTTTGTTTACGATCTCTAACGTAAGATGAAATTCATTTGATTGATGTTCTCGAAACGGCAGCCAAAGCAAATTTTGTAACAATAAATGATGAGTGAAATATGCTCAAAGGAGTTGGCAAAAGAAGCCCTATCGCAGCAAATTTCTTATTTTTCTCAATACTTTTTATACGTCAATAATAATGTGGTGCATCGAAAATCCAGAGGTTATTGAGAATTTGACATTGAGATTTGCGGCAATTTTCTTTATCCATTTCGATTGTTACTAGAGTGACTAACTCTTTGCACTTTTTTCCATAAAATCTCATGAAAACAAGAATTTCATGTTCTGATAGTGGTATTTAAATAAAATGCATGTAATATTGATTTCTTTATACAAAAACAAAAGAGACAGAAACTGAAAAACAACAAAATTTTTTCTATTTTTCAATAAAATTTACAAAAGCAACGAAAACACAGAAATGATCCTATCTTTTTATCTAGTAACAAAAACCTTTTACACTAGATAGCTGGAAGGTTTGGACCAGTTCTGAGGCAAAAGGAATGACAATTAAAATTTAGACTAATTACTAAACAATTCTATCTGACATTGCCAGATAAATGAATAAGAATACTATTCAACAATATTTAATTATATATAGTCAAATAAAATATTACGATAACAATATTCATATCTAATTTGAAATCCAAAATAAATATCTGATAATTCGTATATTTTTATTTTACCCATGGTTTCATTAAACCAATTATTACTACCATGAAATAAATAATTTGATTCAAACCGATCGTAATTCATTTTTGTTTTTTCACATTCACAATCAAGGCCATAATCGGCCAACGCATAAAAATAACATTGTACACTTTTTTCTCTACCACGATCTTGACTACAACATTCAGTTTAGTATGTTAAATATTTATTATTTTTATCCAGTTTAATACGACATATAATTTCATAGATTCCAAGTAATATTGATTTAAACTGACCTTTAATACCACCATGATAAGAAAAGACTACGATATAAACGAACACATTAACCTGTTAAACTATTTAAATCATATTCTCGATTGGAATATATCGTATTGACACATTTCAAATGATCTTTTGAACAATATTGTTTTATCGTCAGCATATCTACACCTAATAAACGTTTAATACTAATTAAATAAAAAAACATTAACTTATAAAATGATATTTGAAAAATGTTTTCATTTGTTAATTTTTTATTTTTATTGAGATAATATTGAAAGAATTCTTCAATTGTGAGAGACATTTTCAATTCATTTGTACGTGAATATAATTTGTATTTAACCCTAGTAGTACCAAGCCTTTTTTTAGCACTCCATTGGTAGTATACAGTTTTTCTTAACGAATTATTTTATTTTTTCATCAGTATTTTAGTACTTACGTGTCATTCGCATGCTCAATGTGATAAAGAAACTGTCAAAATAACGACCATTATTTAACACAGAAAATAGATGCATGGAGCATTTAATACAGAAAATACGCTTCCCAGAATGCTCATTGCAAACGAATTCTGAGCATTTGTAGCACTTATTTGAAGTTTTTCTATCTTTAGAATTATCGCAAGTTGAACACCGTTTTCGTTTACGTTGAGCAGAATTTTCATTTGCTTCGTGTGTCTCTTCCTCCACCGCAGGGTAGCCCACGACAGCTAATGCATTTCGAATGTCTGTGTGTAAGTTTTTTGAGGTTCTTGAGCGATGATCCAGAAGAGATGAGACCAAACCCATCCCTAACTCCTCAAGGAATAAGCGACGTTTATATCTTTTGTTTTCATTCCAGTTGGCATTCTTCTCTTTCCATATGATTAAAGCATTTATAGCGGCAATGTCGATCATTCCATAAAAAATGCAAAGTGGCCATCGCTTCGTACCCCTTTTCACTGTATATTTACGACACATTTGGTCCACGGTGTTCACAGCTCCTTTTGTTTTATTGTAATCTAAAACAATATTTGGTTTCCCAGTCACTTCGTCAACCTGAATACCATGATGCTTCGAAGAAAGTAATAGAACAGCTTTGTTTCGTTTGCAGACGAATGAAACCAGAGTTAGATAACCGTTAAAACCAAAGAGTGAAGAACCCACTTTGCGGCTTGTGTTTGATTGGAATTCCACAGGAATTTCCGGTTTATTTTTTCGTAATGTTCCCACAATAGTAATTTTCTCCTTGTGAAGTTCTTTAGCTAGTGAAACACTTGTAAAAAAATTATCAACCGTAACATTCCTGTTGAAGCCGTACAATGGTTTCAGCAAGTCTAAAACTACATTGTAACCGATCTGTGTTTGGCGTTGTTGTTATTCTTGTATAAGCTAGATAATCATCAATATTATCTTTACAATTTAATATATTAAATAATCAATAAATACATTTATTTGCGGGCGCCATATTTCGAAGAGATTTCTGTAATTTTTTTCGATCATTGTCTGTATTATATAAATCATAATTTGTTTTATTATTTTGAAATATTCCATTAACATAACATTGATATAATTTAGATCCAAAATAATGTCGAATTAATACTATCCAAAAATAATTATCATTTTCAATTAAAATATACAAGTTTTTACATGTTTTTGATAAATTTATAATATCGATGACAGATAAATATTTACATAAATGGTAAAAAACAAGAAGAGGAAGACTATCTATGAACATTTTTTTCTTAACAAAAAACAATAATAATAAGTTTTCTATGGCTTTCATTAGAAAATTTGGTGCTTGCTCCGCGCTCAACCAAATTGGATAAAAATTGGGCGCCAAATGCAAAATTTGTCGGTGAATCCGACAGCGGGTTCCTTATAATTACATCTTCACTTCTTTTTTTATCCAATTTGGTTGAGCGCGAAGCAAGCACCAAATTTTCTAATGTCTATAAATAATTTATATGAAATACAGAAAAGAAAATCAGACAGTAATCGAAATTCATTTCCAAGTTGTGACTAGACCATAATTCTAGAATAGAACAGATAAGGCTGGAAAAGTTTCCGTCACATTCGCTTATCGTTTACTATCATTTGTTTCCTTTTACTGTGAATAAAAGTACAATTGTTTGCACAGAATTTTATTGCACCAAAAAAACATCTGACTTTCATCATTTTTCCAATTGCCACAATGTATAAAACGATAAAATGATTTGAGATCAAAAAAATGTTTGACCGTTTGTATCACAGATTTGCATCAGTTAGTAGACACTATTTCTACTGACAACACAATTATCGTCATCACTACTTTCACTATCATCCTATAAATATTGACAAAAAAAGACAATAAAGATTTTACGATGAGTGATGATAAAAAAAAAGCAGGACTTACGGATAATGTAATTTTAATATACGCTCTAGAAAAAATTCTCTTTTTATTCACTACAGTAGTTTGACTTAAAAGTACTTACAAGTGTAAGTCAAACTTTGACCGCGTCTAAAACAAAAAATAAAAAAGTAGTCCAAAGCTAGTTCAGAATTAATTTACCTTAATTTTATTGATATCTTACTTCCTTCACGTCCTTGTTTTCATCGTCTCGACCACGTTCTTTAGTTTTCTTTTCAAGTGAACGAATATTAGTATCCAATGATTTATACATATTACGAAGTGATTCAACTGATTTTACATTTGATTTAAGCTATAAAACAGACAGAAATAAAGCAATTAATTCAAAGGGCTTTCATCTCAGTATTTCGATACACGTAACAAAATATCTTTCTTACGGAATTTGCATGTAATTCATCTGGTTTAAACTTTAATGTCTTTATCCCACGGCTAACACATTGTTCTTGACAGAAACATCCAATCCAATTGAGGAATGCATATTCCGAGTTCGAGCTCCCACAAAATAAAATAATATTCATTACCACTAATACATAAAATCTTTTTAGAGTATATAAGTAGGCATCGCCTGCTTTTCTGAGTGAACTTTGAGTAAGTATAGTTCTCTTTTGTTGCTTAGTTACACCGGAGAAATCACCCTAAATGGCAATCCTACCCTGTATAAGCAAGAAACGAGAAATTATAGTTCATCACAGATACGCTTACATTTTTCTTTCGTCTGATCGTATGATTTTTCATTTTCGTTATTCGACTACGATGACTTTTGGACGAGCACCTTTTGTGCTCGTAATTACCAAACATCTATGCACGTTTACTTCGTTTTGTACCTGTATATCTTCATTTTGACTCAAAAGGGAAAAACGTTATCTGAATACTCATCAAAATCGGCTCAAGAACTATTTCATACATTTTCACTTGTAAGTGTTGAACAACAGCAAGAAGCCTGAGCTGGGTTACAAAATCTTAATAAAGAAATAAGATTGTACGGTCATTCATATGTAGCTCGATCAACATTCAATGAGCAATACAATTCTATGTGATGAATACAAGAATATTGCGCATTATCATTCATGCACTTAGATACTTTTTCTCGTTACAACAAACGTTAACAAGAAAATTGAAATAGTATTTCAATTTTCTTGTTAACGTTGCCGTTTATATAATAAGATTGTGAAATTTAAAATAAAAGGGGGCATGATAATAAGTAATTAATTTTTTTCTCAATTAGATAATGACTGCAAGCCGAGAAAAGCTGAGGATATATGTTTCAAAGTGTGCTCTACGAACTGATAAAGTTAGACCGAAATCTAAATGGGTCCCCCCTGTAACGGCTCATCGCCATTACATTGTTCTACATGCTTGATCTTATTGCAGTTTATAGAAATTCTTAAAACTTCGATGTTTCGCGGGTTTTAGTAAGAGAGATAATAGAAGGAAGAAATTATGTATT